TTTGGAGACAAGAGTTTCACTCCTGTTGCCCAGGCTGGAGTGCAATGGCACAATGTAGGCTCAATGCAACTTCTGCCTCCCAGGTTCAAGTGATTCTCCTGCCTCAGCCAAAAAAAAAGCTGGGATTACAGGTGCCCATGACCACACCTGGCTAATTTTTGTATTTTTAGAAAAAAAAAGGTTTCACCACATTACCCAGGCTGGTCTTGAACTCCTGACCTCAGGTGATCCAAAAAAAAAGGCCTCCCAAAGTGCTGGGATTACAGGCGTGAGCCACTGTGCCCGGCCTCTAAAAAAAAAATCTTAAATTGTTTCCTATTTTGAAAACTCCCCAACTAACAATACCTTTTCTTAAAAAAAAAACCTTTAGGATTTTAAAAGCTCTAATGGCTTTTATAATACATTGTCTTGCTCTTAAATCACTTGCATAATCACTCTTATGCCTGTCATACAGTGATCCCCTATTTCCTTTATATTTTTGTATGACACCAGCATTAATAGTCAAAATCAACATAAGCAATTCAGAAATCTACTAAAAAAAAAAAGCAGACAATGCTAAGATTCAGCAACTCCATTTTCTGATATAAACCTAGTGAAACGCCTGCATATACATAGGATACGTGCTCCAGGATCATCTACAACCATGAAAAAGTAGAAACAGTCATCAGTGGGAAGGGACCACTACACTGTGGTATAACCATTTTCTGAAATAGTACTAAAAAAAAAAATAAAGGGAGAAGATCTACATTGCCACAAAAGGGTGTGTTAACAAAGAGAAAAAAAAAAAAAACATACTTTTATAGCTTATTATATACATACGTAAATGCACGAAATTATCCTTTTTGTTGGCGTCTGGCGTGAAGGGATTCAGAGTTCAAAGGGATTTCAGCTCTACTTATAATAAAAAAAAATGTTAAGAATATAATACCATATTACTTGATAATTTGAAATAATATATAAAACAAAAAAAAATATTAAAAAAAAAATAGGGTTTAAATCCATGTGAAGCAAAACTTACCTGTGCAAAAAAAAATCTTTTGCTAGTTGAATTTGTAATGTTCCACCTTTCCATTTTGTTTTATTTAAAAAAAAAATACCTATAAAGTAAAGAATTATTACTCAAGTACATGGCAATGAAAAATATTTAAAAAAAAACTTTTTCTAATTATTTAGTATCAAGAAAAGTAGGCTTGTTTATCACAGAGATCCACGGGAAGTGGAAGAAAAGAAATGAGACCTGGAGAGAGGGAGCCTAGGCTCTTGTCTCATGTTGACAACTTACCAAAAGAGTCTTTACACTCCCTATCTCACAGTGTTACTAGATTGGAATGAGGCAAAACGTGTAAAAAGTAAAGCAAAATTTATTTGCAATTTGTTTATAAACAAATGTAAAAAAAAACTGAATAACTGACATTTAATGTATATTTTATTGTTATTTCCTATAACTATAAAAAAAAAAACTTTTCAGGTGAATCAGAGGACACTCTGGAATCCTACAGCACCTTAATTTTATTTACCACCTCATACTAATTATCACTGTAGAACTTGTAGATGAATTAACTGTGAGTAACTGAAAAAAAAAAATTACTATGCCCTAGTAATTGATTTCTCTGAGTATCTGCTATCAGCTTCCTTAATAATACCATTAACAGAATTTTGTAGGTGGTAGATACTATACTAAATACAAATGTATCGTTTATTTTTCAGACCGAGTGTCCCTCTGTCGCCCAGGCTGGAGTGCAGTGGCACAATCTTGGCTCACTGCAACCTCTGCCTCCCCAGTGATTGTCCTGCCTCAGCCTCCCAAGTAGCTGGGATTACAGGTGCCTGCCACCAAACTCAGCTAATTTTTGTATTTTTAGTAAAGATGGGGTTTCACCATGTTGGCCAGGCTGGTCTCAAACTCCTGACCTCAAGTGATCCACCTGCCTTAGCCTCCTAAAGTGTTGCAAATGTATCATTTAATTTAATTCTCACAGAAATATTATGAGGCAAGCACTAAAAAAAAACATTCATCACATAAGCAAACTGGGGCTGAGAAGTTTAAATAACTGCCACAGGTCACAAAGCCTAGTTATGTATTCTTAACCACAACTTCACATTTGTCACATATATTCCTCACTGAAAAATAGAATAAAGCAATCTTTTTGCAAATGAAATTACGAAAGACTGATTGCCCTCTTAAAAAAAAAGCATGTTCCCTTTACTTATTTTCTGTGTCTTTTTTCACTTTTTGGCCTCCAAAAAAAAAAAATATGCTACTGTGTCAGTGGCAGTATGGATTATCTCCCGTTCTTCATTGAAGAAAAAAAAATTCCCTTGACTTTACTAAACTTATCAACAAGAGATTTCACAATTTCAAGGATATGGTCTTACAAGGGTGTATTGTAAAGCTCCCTCCTTAAGAGTGTTTAGTGACAAGGATTAAAAAAAAAAGAAATGATCAGACTGAGGGGGAATGTGGCATGATATTCAGTGGGATATATGTAACAGGCAGTTTCTATGAAAGGTTGGTCCCTTGTCCAAAATATTTGAGAATAGCAGTTTTAAGTAAACCCACCAGCAAGTGCTACCATGTCCGCTGATGCCAAATGCAATGGACCTAAACCTGCTGAGTCAAACGATACTGGAATTCTCTTGATCAACTGCTGTCCCTCTAGGTAACGCAAAAACGGCTGTGGAGGTTTAGGCTTAGAACCAAAGGTATTCCAAGTTACAGAGTGATACAAACTAAAAAAAAATATAGAAAATTTATGATGATCTTACATTTTTTCAGGTCTGCTTCTGCTACACAAAAAAAAATATATGCAAAGACTTTCTGTGGGTTTCCTAAAAAAAAACCACCAAAAACCAAAAAAAAAAATATTTAAATTCTTATCCAGAGAGCAATGTAAAAATGGTTGTTTCTAAATTTAAAAAAAAAAAAAAATAGTTCTTTAAAACTTATTCTTTCAAGCATAAACCTTGTTTTTTATTTATTGGCTATAAAAATAAGCATGATTATCAAAATATTCCAAAAAATAAGAAGAAAATGTACAAAAAAAAATTAAGGAAACATTTTGATTGTATGCTAGTGATAGTCTACTTAATGGGACACTAAAAAAAAAAAAATTCTAGCTCTCAAAACTGGAAGTTAATATGTTTCTGAAATCAGATGTTAAAAAAAAAGAATTTTTTCTTATTTCAGAAATGAATTCTGGTCAAGTTCCACATCACACATAAAAAAAAAAAAACATCACTGAAAACTTTCGGTGTTCAGAGTTAACATTTATCTTGGGGTCGTTTTATTTTCTAGTACTTAACCTGAGTTATGTCTGCCTATAACTACCCAGTGAAGGACCATAAATTTACCTTGGTCATCTTTCCGTGTGATGATCTCCACATCCGAAACTTCTCCAAATCTGCTGAACTGATTTTGTAGGTCTGCCTCAGAAATGTTCTGGCTAAGGCCACCCACATAAAGGAAAAAAAAATCTCTGTTCACTTTCATGAAGGCTGGTCATATACTTGGTGTGTTCTAGTGGGAAAAAAAAATTTCTGTATACAGAGAAGAAGAGTTCTTTCCCTTAGTTCTTCTAAAATCTAAAAAAAAAAATACTTCCTCTGAACCGTCTGTATCAAATCCGTCTCCTGGATCTGTATTTCACTTCCGATTGTATTGCTTCCAAATTTTAGTCTTGGAGGTTTTGCCGAAGCCCTACATCCACATTTTTCATGAATGTACTTTGGAACAGCAACCCTATACCCATATAGATACAGGTCCAGAGGTAAAAAAAAACCAAATGGCCATAATATTACTCTATCCCTCTTAATGTTACGTATTCACGTTTAAAAAAAAATTTCCTTGATTCATTCATACATTCATTTACTGTCTGTAACAAAGGCTGATAGAAAAAAAAAGTAGCAGGTAATGCACTAAAAGATAAAAAGAGCTAGTCTATCTCTTCCTAATAAAAAAAAACCCCAACCTACTCACTCCAGCCTTCTTTCTCCGGGAAGACCCAAAGAAGTGAAAAAAAAAACTAGGAGCTTCTGGAGCTCCTCATAGTCACGAAAGAATTAAACAAATGGCACAAAAAAAAATCACAATAAAAGTGCTGCAAAGTGGGGTTCAGTCACAAAGATCAAGTGATATAAAAAAAAAAGACTTGTGTTTTTGCTACGTGCCTGCATTGTACAAAGTAGTTTGCACGTTTAAAAAAAAACAGAAGAGCAGAAGAGGTTAAGTCACTTTCCCAATGCCATACCGAAAATTAGAAAAAAAAAGATTATAATGCAGGTCTAACTTCAGAACTTGGAATTCTTAACACTATACTATGAAGGTTGCTGGATCACAGGAGACTCAGGAAAACTTTTCCAGAGGTACTAGGGCCCATCATATCTCTCATTTCGTTTAGCACCCGGCAGGCGCTCAGCTCTCGCCCTGCCCTTCCCCAACAAAAAAAAAAATTTCCAAACGAGACTCCCAACCAGCGTCCCCACATGGCATGTATTCTGGGCAAAAAAAAAACCTACCTCTTCCTGACAGTCTCCGCCCCCAGCCTACCCACCGCAGCCTTCTTTCTCCGAGAATTCCCAGAGCAGTGAAGAGAGAGGCTAGGAAACGGCCCTGTGACTTCTCATGCTTCAAACCCACTCCTCACCACGTCGTTCACCTAACGCCAGCGCCGCTGCAGCCCCTAACTTCTGGTCACATGTCCCAACGGACCATCCTCTCTTCCTTCCTACTCGATTTCCAACCCAGCAAAAAAAAATTCCGTTACCACAATTCAGTTCCCAAGAGCTTTTAATTTCCTTTCCCGTCCTCCCACCTTCCCTGACGCCTCCGTCACCTCCCCCTCAACGACCGCAAAAGAGCCCAAACCAAAAAAAAAAAGTTTCTATTGAACACTATCGCTGTGTGTACCAATTCCTGGACTACGTCGGCCAAAAAAAAAAAGTAGGGGGAAAAAAAATAAAGAGGCGCTCCCCTCCACGTGATCCCAGCCCAAAAAAAAAAGTGACGCAAGCGGCCGGGCGGCTCCAAGGCTGCCGGCTGGGGTGAGCAGCGGAGCGCTTGGGCTTGGAGTAGCAAAGAACACGCTCTCCCGAGAAAGTATAGGCAGTGATTAAAAAAAAAAGGAAACGTGTGTAGGGACGTCGAGGACCCAGGCTCTCGGGCGAGCGTGTAGTTGGACGGACAGGGCCGCGGGGGTCACGCGGGGCTCTCCCGCCTCCCCTCCGCGTGAGCTCCGGGATGGTCCGCGCCGGGAGCGCGCGCGAGGCTTGAAGCGCCGGTGAAGCGCTCAGGTCGGAGTGACAGCGGCGCTGCCTGCGAGGCTCTGGTCAGCAACGCGCCATGGACGCAGAGCTGGCAAAAAAAAACGTCTTGCAAGCTGAGATCGCGGCGGTGCGGCGAGAGTGTGAGAACCCACCGGCGCCCTGGGAAGAGAAGTCCAGAGTCCAGTACGTGACCCCCCAAGTTCCCCAGGCTCCGCTGACCGGGGTTCCCGGGCCAGGCGGGTGAATCTCCACAGACATACTCGGCCTCCTACTCCCAAAAAAAAAATGTGGGCATGAACTGGTGTTGATCCTTTCATGGCAATGGCCTAGAGTTGGGAGCAGCGCGTACGGCGCCCTGCTGTAAACGCCTTGCAGATTATTAGCTCGTTTAATCACAGTCGTCTGTGTGGATGACTGACAAGGAGAAAGTCTTGACTATGCCCCTAGCTAGATAGTTCCAAAAAAAAAAAGCAGAGGTATCTCTAGTTGGGATTTAGTAACTCCATTTGATTTCATGGCATTTGTTTTTAATGGGTCAGCTAACCATGGCAAGTGATACTGACTTTTTGTTTACGATGACAAAAAAAAAACCTTGAAAAATAACTTCGGTAAAAAAGTAAGTTGATATCAAGAAGAGTGGTTAAAAAAAAATGTAGGAGAATTTGACATTCCTCTAAGGTAGGTGCTACTGTTGGCCCTGTTTTATAGTTGAAGATACTTGTTTTACATTTGAAGATACTGAGGCTCAGAGGAGTTAGGTAGCTAAAAAAAAATTCCAGAGAAAGGAATTGTCAGAGATGGATTAGGAACCCAAAAATTTAACCCAAAAAAAAAGGCACTTCTGCTTTGTTGAAGGAGAGGGAGAGAAAAGCTCTGCAGCCGTAATAAAAAAAAATCATCTCAAACATGGAAGCCTCGCGAAAACAAACTGTCTTCAATTTTTGAGTAAAAAAAAATTTGACACAGGTGCAGAGAGAATGAGATTTATTTATTTATTTATTTATTTTTAAAAAAAAAACTGGAGAAGAATTGGTAGAAAATGGGAAGGAGGAGATCTACAGAAAATGTCAAAAAAAAATCGTGAAAGTAGAGGAAGCTGTGACTGGTAAAAGGGAGAGGAAACAGGTGTGCCCCTCCTCGAGTGAGAGTCATTGTATTAAAGACCGTTGCTCCTTGAGGTGTGCTCCGCAGATGGGATGCTTTAGCATCACCTGGCGGTTTGTTAGAGCGACATCCTGACCAACTGAATCAGAAAAAAAAATTAAAAAAAAGATACCCTGCCCTAACAGATGATTTGTGTGCACACTTTGAAGAAAAAAAAATGAGGAAAAGTGTTTTCTTTACTAGCCACAAGATTTCATTAGTCCACATGGTAAAAAAAAATCAACTGAAAACTCATGAGATCTGCAAATTTTGAGAGACTGTTTCTTAAAAAGGGTTGCAGACTGCAAAGTGGCCATCCTGACAGGCTGGGAAGCATAGTCTCAGGCAAAGCAAAAAAAAAAGCACTTTGGAAGAGGAGGGGTTGGGGCAGGGATTTATGATGGATGAGTGGGCAAAAAAAAAACATTACAACAGGTATAGGAGGGGCTATGAATATTCACGAAGGGAGATGTGCTCACGTGTACTGAATAAACATGCATATTACATACATTCTATGTTCATTTTGGGGAACTGACAAAAAAAAAAAATGCATTACAATTAGGCCCTGTATGTCAAAAGTTGAAGGAGGGAAGCAAAAAAAAAAAAGTACACAGGCTTTGTAAACCTGTTAGAACAAGTCCATGGTTGGTGATCTTATCAAAAGAAAAATTTTTGAAATCATTCTCTTGTCCTATCAAAGCCTGTGGAACAGGGGAATCAAAAAAAAACTGGTGGTGGATGAACTGCAATTATTTCAATATTGCTTATCTGGAGGCCAGTAAAAAAAAAGCCACTAGAGAAAAAAAAACATTGTGGCAGTTAGAACATAGTTCATTTTTTTAAAAAAAAAAATTTTGCTCTTTTTGCCCAGGCTGGAGTGCAATGGCGCGATCTTGGCTCACAAAAAAAAACGCCTCCCGGTTTCAAGCGATTCTCCTGCCTCAGCCTCCCGAGTAGCTAGGGTTACAGGCATGTGCCACCACCCCGGCTAATTTTGTATTTTTAGTAGACACAGGGTTTCTCCATGTTGGTCAGGCTGGTCTTGAACTCCCGACCTCAGGTGATCCACCTGCCTCGGCCTCCCAAAGTGATAGTTCATTCTTTTAAGTGTAGGGAGTATATGACTTAATCCTTGCCTGGCATGGCCTTAGGTCTTGTTTATAATTTGGTATCTTATTGCCACAGAGTCTGTTCTGCAACTCTTACGAAAAAAAAATTAACATTAATGCTGGTCAGTTGTGTCTATATCCCAAATAGGAAGGGCTATAAAAAAAAAAGTCTGACCTCCCGTCCTGTCATGGTTAAGAGCTGAGTTTTTAAGGTTTCCTTAAAAAAAAATTGACCAAGAGGGAGTCGGTTTGGGTGATTGTGGGGGTGGGGTAGGATTTTAAAAAAAAAACTTAGTAAATTATTTATATAATCTGGGACTTCTCAGTGGTTACATTGGAAAGTCAGAAGAGTCCATATTGTGGGAGACATTAAATGTCAGTCCAGGGTGTTTGGATTTAACCAAAAAAAAAATTTTCACTATAGTGGAGGAGGAGGATTGGGACCTGTGTACCAAGCTATTTTTAAAAAAAAATATAAGTGGTTGGATGGATTGGAGGTAGGAAAATTGGAGCTAAATTATTCAGCTATATCCATGTGTCCACACTGTGGCGCCAAATTGCCTGCTTTCAAATCCTGTCTCTGCTATTGGCTGAGTGATCTTGGTTAAGTGAGCTCCCACTTTCTGTGCTTCAGTTTCCTCCGTGGTAAAAAAAAACCCAAGTTTTTGGGTTGCTGTGAGGACTAATTGTGTTAATATATGTAGTTCAAAAAAAAAAGTACTTGCCTCATAATAGTAACTAACACTTAGTAGACCATTGACCTTTAAACAAAAAAAAAGATTCATTTTAAAGGAAAACAAATTCTTGGAAGCTTCCTAATTCTGACAAATAAAAAAAAAATGAAGACCGACTTACCAATAATAAAACCACAAAGTGAATAAAATTCAGACAAAAAAAAAATAGCTCAAACTAACATCATTAGTTGAAATACACAAATATTTTGCTCAAACTAAAAAAAAAATATGAATAAGAATATGCAGATTTTCTTTTTGTGGCAAAATATACGTAAGATTAAAAAAAAAAACCATTGTTAAGTGTTCAGCTCAATGGCATTAAACACTTGCACATTGTTGTAAAAAAAAAACCACTGTTCATCTTCAGAACTTTTTCATCTCCCCAAACTGAAACACCATACAAAAAAAAAACAAACTCCCTACTGGCCACTCTGACAACTGCAGGTTCTTTTTTGAGTTCTGAAAAAAAAACCTTTAATGATGACTTGGTTCTCTTACCATTTTGCTCTATTGGAAATACCTTAAAAAAAAAATTCATAGCTTGCTGTGACATTTGGTGTTCACTTGTCAGAAGCTCATTTATAAAAAAAAAATTTTTTTTTTTTTTTTTTTGGAGATGGAATTTTGGAGTGTGGTGGTGTGATCAAAAAAAAATGCAACTTCCACCTCCCAAGTTCAAGCGAGTCTCCTGCCTCAGCCTCCCGAGTAGCTGGGATTACAGGCACCCACCACCACGCCCAGCTAATTTTTTGTATTTTTAGTAGAGTCAGAGTTTTGCCATGTTGGGCAGGCTAGTCTTGAACTCCTGACCTCAGGTGATCTGCCCACAAAAAAAAACCAAAGTTCTGGGATTACAGGCGTGAGCCACCATGCCCGGCCGCTCATCATTAAAAAAAAAAATTTATCTCTGTTCTTTTTTCTTTTTCTTTTTTGTTTTGTTTTTTGAGACAGGGTCTCACTCTGTTGCCAAGGCTGAAGTGCAGCGGCATGATTATGACTCACTGCAACCTCAAAAAAAAATGCTCAGGCAACCGTCCTGCCTTAGTGACCCTCTACCAGCCAAGTAGTTGGGAAAAAAAAAATGGCATCTGCCACTACGCCCAGATAATTTGTTGTGTGTGTGTGTGTGTGTGAAAAAAAAATTTGGTAGACATGGGGTTTTGCCATGTTTTCCAGACTGGTCTCGAACTCCTGAAAAAAAAAAGCCTCCCAAAGTGCTGGGATTACAGGAGTGAGTCGCTGCACCCACTCTGTTAAAAAAAAATTGACTTCTATATTTAATGTAATTTGTGGGGGCATCAGTCTACGATGGCAAATGCAAAAGAGGCTGTGGTAGTTTCATGATACGGGATATACTTACATTAACATTTTAAATTAGCATTAAAACAAAATTTGAAACAATTTTTACAGATTGGGCTCTTAGTGTGAAGACTATAGCAAAAAAAAATTCTGTGTAGAGATGGTGTAAGGTCATAAGAGCATTGGCTAATGTAGTAGAAAAAAAAAAACAAAAGGAAGAATAGTTATGTGAGGAGCAGAAAGGATGGCAGTAAGTCCAGATGTCAGGCAAGTGAAGGAGCCAAGGATAAGTTCCAAGGTCTGGAGCCTGACATACCAAGAGAAAAAAAAAATTATTAACAAATGTAGGGTAATTTAGAGGAAAAGCAGATTCCAAGAGAAACCATTTGGTGAGATATCAAGCTAGATCTACCTTGCAGGAAGAAGAGATATATGGTTAGAGGTAAAAAAAAAGAGTTACTGGCATAGAGGAGCTAAGGCTAATCAGTTAGTGTTCCTGCAGAATGGAAGAATACGTATTTAGGACAGCAGAAGTAAGAGTGTTTGGGTTTTCCTCTAATGTTGGAAAAAAAAAACCGACCCAAGATCTAATGAGAATTGGGATAATTATGCCCAAGAATCTAAGGAAAAAAAAAATTAAACTGGCAGGAAAAGTCAATAGTGTAGAATGTAGCAGAGTGTTTAAAGGAAAAAAAAAATGACAAAAAATAAAATACCATCTAACACAATTATTAGCTAAAATTTCTTCTAAAAAAAAAGTTTTTTAAATTTTTTTCTGTTTTGTTTGTTTGTTTGTTTGTTTGTTTTTTCAAAAAAAAACAGAGTCTTACTCTGTTGCCTAGGCTGGAGTGCAGTGGCGTGATCTTGGCTCAAAAAAAAATCTGCCTCCCAGACTCAAGCAATTCTCCTGCCTCAGCCTCCTGGGTAGCTGGGATTACAGGCGCCTGCCACCACGACAGGCTAATTTTTTGCATTTTTAGTAGACAAGAGATTTCACCATATTGGCCAGGATGGTCTCAAATTCCTGACCTCAAGTGACCCACCTGCCTTGGCCTCCCAAAGTGCTGGGATTACAAGCGTGAGCCCCTGTACCAGGCTAACTAAAATTTCATTCTAAAAAAAAAGGAAAATATATTTGTATGTTCTCAATGAAGAATGTCTAGCTATAGCGATGTTAAAAAAAAATTGCTATTTCTTTTCCCTAAAAAACTCTTTCTTACTATAAAATGTTCTGTGAAAAAAAAAATTAGAAATTAAAGTTAGCTAATTGATTTTATTTTTTAATTTCTTTTTTTTTTAAAAAAAAATTTGAGTTGAAAACCGGCACCCAGGCTGGAATGCAGTGGTGTGCTCTTACCTAAAAAAAAACTCTGCCTCCCGGGTTCATGCCGTTCTCCTGCCTCAGCCTCCCGAGTAGCTGGGACTACAGGCACCCGCCACCACGCCTGGCTAATTTTTTGTATTTTTAGTAGAGACAGGGTTTCACCATGTTAACCAGGATGGTCTCGATCTCCTGACCTCATGATCCGCCTGCCTCGGCCTCCCAAAGTGCTGGGATTACAGGTGTGAGCCACTGTGCCCGGCCTATTTTTTTAATTTCAAGACATCTTTTAAAATAATTTGAGAGGTAGGAATTTAGGCTGGAATTTCATGGGTCAGAACTCACATTGTAATTTTGCAAAGTACTCCTGTTATAATTTATTTTAAAAGTATTTCTAATAGGTGGAAATTTGGAAGTATAATTTGGTTACATATGTTTTTTGTTGAAATTAAAGATTGTGGGCCGGGCATGGTGGCTCACGCCTATAATCCAACATGCTGGGAGGCTGAGACTTGAAGCCAGGAGTTAAAAAAAAACCTGGGTAATAAAGCAAAACCCTGTCTCTACAAAAAGGAAAGAGAAATTAACAAAAAAAAATGGCACACCTGTGGTCCCAGCTACTCAGGAGGATCCTTGGAGCCTGGGAGTTAAAAAAAAAAGTGCACTATGATTACACCCCTGCACTCTAGCCCAGGTGACAGCGAGAGACCAAAAAAAAATTAAAAAAAAAAAAAAAAAAAAAAAAAAAAAAAGGCAGTGTTAGTAACCACAAAAAAAAAAAGAAAATTCTTTTTTTCTTTTTTTCTTTTTAATGAGGGAAGGGGACTTAATAAAAAAAAAATAAGAGGGACAAAATGAGAATGCTTTGAGGAAAATGAGGGTATTAGATGAAAAAAAAAAAAGTAATTGGAGTGATTGTTTTTGTTATTTGCCTTTTAGAAAATCTTTTCAAGCAAAAAAAAAATTCACTTCGGAAGGATGGAAGTCTTCAGAAGATCTGAAGAATCAGCTTGGAAAAAAAAAATCAGAACTTTCATTTCTAAGTACGCTTACTGGCATCAATATAAGAAATTACTAAAAAAAAACAGAAGACCTAACAAGCACTGAGATGGCAGAAAAGAGTAAGCATTTTTTAAAAATCTATACATAGTATTGAAGTTTTCCTTATTATGCATAAGAAATTGGTTGTCATACTGGAAAAAAAAAATGTGGCACATATACACCATGGAATACTATGCAGCCATTAAAAAGAATGAGTTAAAAAAAAATGTAGGGACATGGATGAAGCTGGAAACCATTCTCAGCAAACTATCGCAAGGAAAAAAAAAAAAACACCGCATGTTCTCACTCATAGGTGGGAATTGAACAATGAGATCACTTGAAAAAAAAAAGGGGAACATCACACACTGGGGCTTGTCATGGGGTGGGAGAAGTGGGGGATAAAAAAAAAAGATATACCTAATGTAAATGATGAGTTAATAGGTGCAGCACACCAACATGGCACATGTATACATATGTAACAAACCTGCACGTTGTGCACATGTACCCTAGACCTTAAAGTATAAAAAAAAAATTTGGTTGTCATAATATTGAATTAAAATTCTACAAGGTAAGTATTTGAAAGTAAAAAAAAAGTAAACATGTTTACTCACATATCTTTTGAACATCACGGTGTTCAAAAAGCTGCCTGGGCCGGGCCCCGTGACCGTGCCTGTAATCCCAGCTTTTGGGAGGCTGAGGCGTGTGGATCACCTAAGGTCAGGAGTTTGAGACCAGCCTGGCCAACATGGTGAAACTCTGTCTCTACTAAAGATGCAAAAATTAGCCAGATGTGGTGGTGGGCACCTGTAATCTAAGCCATTTGGGAGGAAAAAAAAAGAGAATCACTTGACCCTGGGAGGTGGAAGTTGAAGTGAGCCGAGATTGTGCTAAAAAAAAACACCCTGGGGGACAGAGCAAGACTCCATTTAAAAATAAATAAAAATAAATAAAAAAAAAAAGGTAAATATTAAAGAACAGACAGAGTTTCTTTTTCTCTTTTACCTTCTCTCCAAAAAAAAAGAGAACAGACACAGTTTCTATCATTAAGTACCTTAATAGTCAAGTAAATACTAAAAAAAAAATAAACAACAGCACCATTAACTTATACATCTTAGGAGTTGTTCAGCACTGACAAAAAAAAAGCCAAGATAAATGTTTTAGCAGCTGGACCTTTTGCCGGAAGGAAAGTTTCGGGTCCCAGTGACTAGATTTTTATTGCCAAAGATCTGTGATGCACTAAGAGATAAAGGGAAGCTACTGCAGCTGTGCAACTGGATGTCAAGAACTTTGGTTGTCAAGAATAACATTCCCAAAAGCAGAAATCATTTTTGGTGTGTTTCCTGACTTTTCCACTGAAAATAACCCTCGTGACAGGGGAAAAAAAAATGGGCAGCCACTGCGGGGTGACTGACTTACATATAGAAATAGAGTGATGGGAAAAAAAAAATTAAATTACTTGAAAGGAAGAGATGGAATGCAGAGAGAATAGAGAATGAGGATAGGCCGGGTATAAGACTTTTACTAGCTGAAAAACTGCAGCACGAAGAGTAGGCGTAGAGTCATGACAAAGCTAATGTGGTTTGAATGGGAGATTTCAGACAGGGACATCACAAGAGTTGAAAAAAAAAAATTTCTGTCTGTGAGTAATACGTGCTTATTTTAGCAAACTTGGAAAAACACAAAAAAAAAAAAGAAGAAATACCATTTTAAAGCCAGAAATCTAAGTAGTTGTAGGAATTTCTTAAAAAAAAATGTGAAGTAATTTAGCAAGAGTAATGGCATGGGAAGAGAAATATCTTGTTTTAAAAAAAAATGTTGTTCTTTTTTTCTTTGTTTTTGTTTGTTTGTTTGTTTGTTTTGTTTTTAAAAAAAAAGAGTTTTGCATTGTCACCCAGACTGGAGTGCAGTGGTGTAATCTCAGTTCCCTGCAGCCTCCACCTCTCAGGTTCAAGTGATTCCCCTGCCTCAGCCCTCAGAGTAGCTGGGATTGTAGGTGCGTGCCATCATACCTGGCTAATTTTTATATTTTTGGTAGAAATGGGGTTTCACCATGTTGGCCAGGCTGGTCTCGAACTCCTGACCTCAGGTGGTCTGCCCGCCTTGGCCTCCCAAAGTGCTGAGATTACAGGCATGAGCCACTGAGCCCAGTCTACGAAAAATATTTTGAACAAAAAAAAAATAATACAAACTGACAGTAATAGGCATATGTAGTATAATCTGCATGTGAAAGGAAAAAAAAAGAATAAGCCTTGTGACGATGTAGTGTCGGTGTCACTGGTTTTCCGATATTTCTGTTTCTCTTTTTCACAAGCGTTGCATAATTTCATAAAGAAGTTAAACAGCTGTTAGGCTTCACAGGTTAAAAATGCTTGAAAGCCTTGTCATCAAAGACTGTATTTTCTTATGTCACATTTAAAAAAAAATATGACACGTAAAAAAGTTGCCAGGCAAAAGTGAATAGCTGTTCCTAACAGAAAAAAAAAAATATTATTCAAAATGGTTTTTCTAATACTACTGTATTTTGAGGCTTTTTAATAAAAAAAAATGAGAACAAAACAGTTTGATTTAGTGGATGTGTTTGGTGACGTGTGATGCCATCAAATCTTTAATTAATCAGATAATTACTGTGTCTGGCCCAGGCACTTGGCCAAATGCTATAAAAAAAAATTATCATTTTCCATAGCTATTAACTGGGCAGACACAGTTTCTGTAGTGTGTTAATGAATGTAGCTGAAGCTAGGTAATCAAATGATCTTGATTTCCTTCAAAATAATCATGTGAAAAAAAAATAGACTTTATTGCAGCTATGCTTTTATTTCTCCAAACATTTTTAGAACTCTTAAAAAAAAATTTCCTTTAGTGCCTATGATGATTCTTTTAAATTCTCGATTTTGATTCTGTAAAAAAAAAATTACAAACTAAGTAATGGAATTTGGAGTCCAAAATTAAGTGTTACCACAAAGAAAAAAAAATAGTTTTTTTGTTGTTGTTTTTTGGGTTTTTTGTTTGTTTGTTTTTGAGACAAAAAAAAAACCTGTTGCCCAGGCTGGAGTGCAGTGGTGCAATCTCAGCTCACTGCAGCCTCCACCTCATGGGTTCAAGCAGTTCTCCTGCCTTCGCCTCCCACGTAGCGGGGACTACAGGCGCACTCTGCCGTGCCTGGCTAATTTTTGCATTTTTAGTAGAGACAGGGTTTCACCACATTGGCCAGGATGATCTTGATCTCCTGACCTCGTGATCCGCCTGCCTTGGCCTCCCAAAGTGCTGAAAAAAAAAATGTGACCCACTGTGCCTGGCCGAGAGTAGTTTTTTAATTTATAGTTTTTATTAAAAAAAAATAATGAGCTTTAAATGTATGTTGTTAAAAACATGTGGATGGGCTTGATACATAAAAAAAAAGTTTTGAAGGACTGATCCTCTTCTGTGGTCCTTAAACTTTGTTAAAAATACACCCTTACTCATTATTTAAAAATAAAAATCAGGCCAGGTGCAGTGGCTCACGCCTGTAATCCCAGCACTTTGGGAGGCCGAGGTGGGCGGGTCACTTGAGGTCAGGAGTTTAAGACCAGCCTGAAAAAAAAAGTAAAACCCTGTCTCTACTAAAAATACAAAAATTAGCTAGGCGTGGTGGTGCAAAAAAAAAGTCCCAGCTGCTCGAGTAGCTGAGGCAGGAGAATGGCTTGAAGCTGGGAGGTGGAGGTTGCAGTGAGCCGAGATTGCACCACTGCGCTTCAGCCTTGATGACAGTGAGACCCTGTCTCAAAAAAAACAAAAACAAAAACAAAAAACTAAAAAACCGGTGTGGTGGCTCACGCCTGTAGTCCCAGCACTTTGGGAAGCCAAAACAGGTGAATCACTTGAGGTCAGGAGTTCGAGACCAGCCTTGCCAACGTGGTGAAGTCTGTCTCTACTAAAAACACAAAAATTAGCGGGCCATGGTGGGGCATGTCTGTATTCCAAGCTGCTCGGGAGGCAGAGGTTGCAGTGATCGGAGATGCTGCCACCACACTCCAGCTTGGGCAACAGAACGAGACTCCATCTCAAAAGTAAAAAATAAAATAAAAATCAGTGTGTTCAAGTAAAAAAGCATCAAACTGAAAATTTATCATACTACATATATTTAAAAAAAAATTATGTATGCATAGTGTTCCATAAAGAAAAAATAAAACCTGTACATAAAAAAAAAAGCCTGGAGACTGGAGAGATTAGTAAGTCTCTCTGGGTCTGATTTCTTATGTGCAAAATAAAGTGGTTGCCGTAGATTACTTCTAGGATTCCATCTGCATTTTTTCTTTACCACATTTTTGGCATATTTATTTTTATGGACAAAGCCCAAGGTCATCTAGATTTTCTCCTATATTATCTTCTAGGAGTTTTAGTTTTGTATTTTATATTTAGAACTGTAATAAATTTTGAGTTAATTTTTGAAAAAAAAATAAAGTCAGTGTCTAGATTTTTTTTTTTTTCGCATGTGGATGTTCAGTTGTTCCAGCACCTTTTATTGAAAAGACTATCCTTTCTCCATTGAACTGCCTTTGCTCCTTTGTCAAAGATCAGTTGACTATATCTGTGTGAGTCTATTTCTAGACTTTCTCTTCTGTTCTGTTGACCTATTTGTCTACTCTTTCACTAATACCATACTTTCTTGATTACTGTAGCTTTATAGTAAGTCTCTAAATCAGGTCGTTTAAGTTCTTAAACTTTTTTGGCCGGGCGCGGTGGCTCACACCTGTAATCCCAGCACTTTGGGAGGCCGAGACGGGCGGATCACGAGGTCAGGAGATCGAGACCATAAAAAAAAACATGGTGAAACTCCATCTCTACTAAAAATACAAAAAAAATTAGCCGAGCGAGAAAAAAAAAGCCTGTAGTCCCAGCTACTCGGGAGGCTGAGGCAGAAGAATGGCGTGAACCCAAAAAAAAAAGCTTTCAGTGAGCTGAGATCGCACCACTGCACTCCAGCCTGGGCGACAGAGAAAAAAAAATCTCAAAAAAAAAAAAAAAAAAAACAAAAAAAACTCTTTTTCTTGAAAATTAAAAAAAAAATTCTGAGTTTTTGCCATTCCATGTAAACTTGATAATCATTTTGTTGATATCCAAAAAAAAACTTGCTAGAATTTTGATTGGATTGTATTGAATGTACAGATCAAAGTTGGGAAGAACTGACATCTTAACCGTAGTGAGTCTTCCACAGCCATTTATTTAAACAATTCCACATCTAATCCATGATTAAGCATTGCATCTAGCTGTTATGTCTCTTTAGTCTTAATCTGGTCAATCTTCTCTGTCTCTTACGACATTGACATATTTGAAGACCACTTGTATTATAGATTGTTCTTCAAAAAAAAAAATTCCTGATAGTTTCCTCTTAATGACATTCCTGTGCAATTTTGGCAGGAAAACTATGAAAGTGATGTTTTGTTCTTACCAGTACATCTAATTAGGAGGCAAATTATGTCCGTTTAAAAAAAAATGTCTTTTTTTCCTAACTGCTTATTGAACAAACCTTTAACCGGTCTTCCTATAAAAAAAAACAGGTTCACCTCCTATAAAGGTACTTGGTGCTGCTGATTCATAGTAACCTATAAAAAAAAATGCTGTGTAAATGGACTTGCTTCTGGGTTTTCCTCATTTGCTGGCTTAGGTTTCAGTTTTCCTGGCTCTACCAGGTCACTTTCACTTGTCCATGTGCTATCTAGTTCATCCATAAAAAAAAAAGCTTCTCAAATCCAGTTGTTCTTATTTTCCCTGTTCCCTTTATCCTTGTAGAAAAAAAAACTTCTAAAAGTAACATTATTAGGAAAACTAGATGACTACATGAAGTCAGGATAAAAAAAAATTACCTCTTGGGGGTAGGGTATAGCCTGGGAAAGGACATTAAGGAACCTTACAAAAAAAAAAAAATTCTTGTGGCATGATCTGAGTGGTAGTTACCTGGACAGTCATATGTGTAAAAAGAAATATTGAGCTGTATACTTAAGAATAGGGCATTTTATGGAGGCCGGGCGCAGTGAAAAAAAAATGTAAACCCAGCACTTTGGGAGGCTGAGACGGGCGGATCACGAGGTCAGGAGAAAAAAAAAATCCTGGCTAACACGGTGAAACCCTGTCTCTACTAAAAATACAAAAATTAGCCGGGTGAGGTGGCGGGCGCCTGTAGTCCCAGCTACTCGGGAGGCTGAGGCAGGAGAATGGCGTAAACCCGGGAGGCGGAGCTTGCAGTGAGCTGATATCTGGCCACTGCACTCCAGCCTGGGCGACAGAGTTCAAAAAAAAAAAAAAAAAAAGGATAGGGCATTTTATGCATTCAAATGTATGCATGTTATATCTCAAAAATGTCGTTTATCACTGTCATTTTAGTGCAGTTTTGAGAAATAGCAGAGGTAAACGCATGGATTCAATTTACTGCCTTTAAAAACTAGGTAGTGTTGGAAAAATAAAAACCATTGAACAGTTAACATGATTCAAATTTGTCTAGGGTTATACTAATACATTTCTACTTCTTACCATAACTTTTGGTATAGTTGAAAACTTGGCCAGGTGCGGTGACTCATGCCTATAATCCCAGCACTTTGGGAGGTCGAGGTGGGTGGATCACCTGAGGTCAGAAGTTTGAGACCAGCCTGACCAGTATGGTGAAACCCTGTCTCTACTAAAAATACAAAAAATTAACTGGATGTGGTGGCGCACACCTGTAATCCCAGCTACTCAGGAGGCTGAGGCAGGAGAATTGCTTGAACCTGGGAGGTGGAGGTTGCAGCGAGCCAAGATCGCGCCATTGCACTCCAGCCCAGGCAACAAGAGCGAAACTCAGTCTGGAAAAAAAAAAGAAAACTAGAAACACAAGTTATCATTAATTTTATTTTGCAAAGATAATCAATTTGGTTTACATTCTTCCAGAGTTTTTCAATGTAATTGCTAATGCAGACTTTCACACATATACCTACATGTATTGTAGATATTCACACAAAATTAAATAATAGGCATTTGAAGAAAATGGTTATTTGCAAACAAAATATTTGTTTTTCTGGTTTACAGGTATAAGAAAAGTTCTACAGAGACACAGATTATCAGGAAATTGCCACATGGTTACATTTCAACTTGAATTTCAGATTCTGGAAATTCAGGTAAATTAAGAAGCATGTTGTGATAACAGAGGTACTTCTGCTATGATAAACAATTCCCACACCCCAGCCTTCAACAGTGGTGGATCTGAAGAGGAGTTCATGAGCCAGGGCCCCTATTCATAGCCCATTTGTGCCAAGTGGTACATTTTCAAAATTTCAGGTGTTAATAGCCCAGCAACTGCATACGGTGGTGTTGCTGTGAAAGCCATAGGTGATTTATTGAAGGACAGGTGGCAAGATGCTCCTGGGCTCCCAGTGCAATTCCATGAGATTGTGGGAATAGTCCTGGGTGTCATCAGTAGTTAGGTGATATGCCAGCCACCTAATAACTATTAGTTACCTGTTGCTGCTTCATCAATCCCCATAATATTTAGCATTTTAAAACAACCCAAAATAGGCCAAACATGGTGGCACACACCTGTAGTCTCAGCATTTTGGGAGGCCAAGGCAGGAGGATTGCTTGAGCCCAGGAGTTTGAGACCAGCGTGGGCAATGTAGTGAGACCCTGTCCCTACAAAAAAATTAAAAATTAGCCAGGCGTGGTGGTGTGCACCTGAGCTCCCAGCTACTCCAGAGGCTGAGGTGGAAGGATTCCTTGAGCCTAAGAGATCGAGGCTACAGTGAGCTGTGATTGTGCCACTGTACTCGAGCCTGGGTAACAGAGTGAGACTCTGTCACACATACAAAAAAACAACCAAAAATACAATCATCCCTCAGTATCTGTGAGGGATTGGTTCCAGGACTCCCTGTAGTACCAAAATCCATGGATGCTCAAGTCCCTTATATAAGATGGTGTAGTATTTGTCTGTAATGTACACATATCCTCCTTTATACTTTAAATCATCTCTAGATTACTTCTAATACCCAATACAATGTAAATGCTGTGAAATGGTTACTATAGTATATTGTTTAGGGAATAATTATGAGAAAAACAACTTGCACGTGTTCAGTACAGATGCAACCATCTGCATCTGTAGATTTTTTTTTCAAATATTTTTGGTCTGCAGTTGGTCAGTCTATGAATGTAGAACCATAGATAGAGAGGGCTGACTATGTGTATTAATTATCTCACCTATTTTCTGTGGGTCAGGAATTTTGGAGCCACTCAGTTGGGTGTCTTTGCTCAGGGCCTCTCATGAGGTTGTGGTCATCTGGGACCACAGCCATCTGAATGCTCCTTGGGGCTGGATGATCTTGCACATTGTACTGAACTGCTGAGACACAACAGAGGGAGGAAGATTCGTTTGACTAAGACCTTCACATAATATTAGGAAGCAGGAAAGCAAAAGCAGACAGAATGATAATAAGTAACCCCACTGGCCAGGGTGCAGCAGAACACGGCTCAACCACCTTCAAAGGCTGACTCCAAGAAAAGTTGAAAGCCGGAGAAAGCAGTTGAAAGAGGAGAAAGCAGTTTCAACCAGTTGGTTTTGCCAGTTGGGCCAACGGAATGTGTGCAAAGAGGAGGAACAGAACAGGGAAGGGCAGTGAGGCTGCGTTGACCTCAGCTCATCAGATAACTAAAGTGGTGTAGAGTATTTATTGTAACTGAGTCCTGCGGACAAGCTGCATGCTTATATTCAGGGTCATGTGCCAGTATTCTTTATCCTTTTCATCAGTGTCCTTAGCCACAAAAGTTGTCCCAAGTTTCCCATTTAGTATGAGACAGGAGTTGGTTATGGAGTCAGGACCTTTCCTCCTTCTGTGTCAGATAGCCACTCCCTAACTAGTGCCAAGGATTTGGTACAGTTACCTGGGTTTGGAAGTTTTTCTTCTCTTTGCAATCCAAGTCTCCATTTGCTATTACTGGCTCTGGCAGGCTGAGGATGGGCTAGGGGTTGTCTAGACCCCCTCATATGATGGCAAAGCTCCTAGCTTGTACTCATCTTAGAGTATCACTTTTACACTGCCAAAGTGACCAAGAAAAGGTGCCGTGTAGCATTGCCAAGGCCAGTTGAGCGGGATACAAAACACATTTCAGCATGTTCAGTGTGTCAAGGGCATGGGTGGTAAATGGCTCTAGGGGACTGACATTGTTCCCAGATGGGCCCTAGGCCTTGGGGATGTACAAGGTCACCAAGGAGATATCACATGACCACAAAGATCATTTGCTGAAGACTAAAGCAGAGAATGGACCCAAATGGATTGGTATCATTTAGGCTGGACAACCTGTGCCACCACCCCAGGCTTTTCCTTTAGGCGGCTGCTGGACTCCTGGATGTTGTCCCTTTGTAAAAGGTTTCATAGTCTGACTATATTTTCTTTCTTTGTGGCTGATGTGAACTTGACCTGAGAGTGGTAATCTACTGAATGCTCTTCTGTATGCTGGCATCCATTAATGGGCCAAGCCTGCAACCCATGGCAGGTTGGTGGAATCATAATCCCGTGGTCCACTTCCATCTCCAAAAACGTCTGCACTCTAGTATATATGTCCAGGAAACTGCTCAGGGGAATCCTAGCAGCCTTGGGGTCTTGCAGGCTTTTTCTACTGTAAGAGTTCATCTTTTTCACAGTTGCCTCATAGGTTATGTGGAGAGAAGCTCCGTTGTGGGCAGAATTAGTCTTGTCCTTGAGAGGCTTGTCCACAACTCCAAGTGAGAAGGGAAAGATTATCCTCTGACATTGAGGTGGATGAGCTTCTTAGTGGAGTTGTACCTTCCAGGATGGGTTGTACCCTAAGATTGATTGGTATGCTTCTTAGTGGGGCTATGGCCTGAGACATAACGTAGACTATAGTATCCAACATAGACTGCAATATCTTCACTTTATTTAAGTTGCATACTTCAGTCACCTTAAACCTCTGATGGAAAGTATCAGATAGTAATTTGATGCCTTCCTGAGTCAGATAAGGATGAGGTCACGGTGTAGAAGACATTTTGATAATGTGATATGCTCCTGAAGAATGACTGCTGCCTGACCAGAGTCATTCCCGGCATGAACTACCGCGTGGTTTGGCCCTGCTGGGCCTGGGTAACCACCCCAGGACGGCACAGACAGGGCAGAAGCCAGGCAGTGGAGGTCCTGCAACCCCTGCTGCTGTGGCCACACTCTGCCTCCTACCAGACAGTGTTGGCACTGACCCAGACCTCAACAGTATTTTACGCTAATATTCTCATCCTCGTGCCACGAAAGCATGATTGAAAATTTTGTGACCGTTTGGTAATGGCCTAAGCTTATACTGTTAGCTCACATCTGAGTGAATTAGAATCAGTTGAGCTGTGCCTCACAGAAAACTTAAAAATAAAGGTACTAGAAGTGTATTTCTCTATTACTTAAGTAAACTTGTATGTTTTCAAGGGCTAATAGGGTGGTTTTATGATAATCAGGTTCTACCTTCAGCCACACATGGCTTCAAGTCATGGTGCAATGATCATATTAGCATTTCGGGTATCAGGAAGAGGATGGGCAAAGAAAGGCTCACCTGTTCTTTTAAAGGACACTTTCTGGAAAGTGTACACTCATCATTTTCACTTATGTTCTATTGGCCAACAAATTCATATAAAGGATGCTGGAAATTTAATCTTCATTATGCTTGGCCATATGGCCAATGAAAAACTGGGACAAGAAAAAAGTATAAATAGAGGGGACCACTAGCAGTTTCTGTCCTATATGCTTTAGGGGCTGCAGGGGGAAAAAAAAATCTAAGGAGAGGGACTGTTGATATATTCTTTGAAAGACGTAGAACCTAGTAATTGCTGAGTCTCTAAAGAGAGATGAGTTGTCATTGTTCACGTTTAAAAGTGTGTAGGTGTTTTGGGACTGACTGGTTTTACTAACAAAGTGCTACAGAAAGAGTTTGTTCTCCCTGGCTGGGTTAAGAACTCTCACTTTCTCTCTGAGCCTTTTAGATTTTGTGATTCTTCTTGAAGACCAGACTGGTAAACAAGGTGTTGGAAGAAATTACAGACAGCTCTGGAATCAACAGGGTTTTTGGAGTCAGTTGTGTGAGAGGCACCAAGAGTTCTTACTTGGGGAGGGAAAAACAATTGCTTACAATTCTGACATAATAACCTGATGAAAAGTTTCTGAAATTTTTATTATTTAATGGTAAATTCTAGCGTATTCTATACCAACTTGTGTATGTATGCCTTTAGGAACATATCTAGTAGAATTGCTGAGTCAAAGGAAACTTATCAATTCTGATTGATAGTGGCAAATTCCCTTCTAAAATAGTTTTACCATTTTACATACTGAGCACAGTTCTACATTTTTGCTGTGAAGACTGATAAAAAAAATGACAGAGCAACCTTGTGTGTTCTAAAACATTTTTTAAAAATAAAATTTCCACTAGAGGGAGAGGTTTAGCTATCTGAAAATTAAAAAGTAATCTAAATAGTAAAACCCTCAATTTACAGAATATTGTTGTAATAAAGTTATATTAATATAATATTTGAACTAAACATGACCTCAAATCATGTTAATAGAATGTTAGAACACAACGATGACTTATAGTTTGTCTGGGTCAACCCTATTATTTTATGAGTAAATGGATCCAGAGAGTTTGAATGATTACTCATGTTGGTGCAGCTATTGTTGTCCAAGGTGGTTGGGACATAGAGCTCTGTTGGCCAGATTTACTTTCTGGTGTTCTTAGTACTACATTTGTGAAGAGTTGTAAGGCCATCAGAATTAACATTTATCAGCCTTTCATAATCCAAGCAATATAGTCAATTAGATGGGTAGGAGTTTGTGGGGAAAGTGGCAGGTTAAGTATGTTTCCATAACTTCTGTCCCAATGAAATGAACAAAATTATTCAAAAAATAAGCAATTTTTTAAAATGGAAGAGAATACAATTCCATTATCACAGGCTCCAAAGGAAATCTGTTTGATATTAATGACATTTGATTCTAGACACTGAAATCTGATATAGGGTGCTTCATCAGGGGTTTATAAGTTTTACAAAGTTAGGCTGGCCACAGTGGCTCACGCCTATAATCCCAGCGCTGAGGGAAGCCAAGGCAGGAGGATAGCTTGAGCCTAGGAATTAGAAGCCAGCCTGGGCAACATAGCGAGACCTTGCTCTAAAAAAAAAAAAAAAAAAATTTTAATTAAAAAAAATTAGCCAGGCTTGGTGGCTCACATATATAGTCCTAGCCACTTGGGAGGCTGAGACAGGAGGATTGCTTGAGTCCACTAATTCAAGGTTACAATGAGCTGTGATTGAACCACTGCATTCCAGCCTGGGCAATAGACCAAAACTCTGTCTTAAAAAAAAAAGGACCAACTTAATGGCACCCTTTTCCTAAAGATCTCTACCCATGATCCTTCAGTTGTAGAGGAGAATGAGAACTGTGGGCTTAAATGGACCATAGTAGAAAGGAATGTGCTGCTGAGACTCATGTAGGGGCTTTGAGGTCAGATTGTTTATAAGGTCTCTTCCCTTATTTACCAACTGGGGAGAATTGACCTAGTTAGCAGTACCACAAGCAGGGGAGAGATGGAAAAACAATATTTTTGAAGTCAGCTTTTGAGTTGTTGAACAGGATTCTATAACCCAAACAAAAAAATTTTTTTTGCCTATCCTAATGGGTGAAAAGCTGAAATCTAACATGTATCTACACATACCTGACCAAGATGTGCCCCTGAGACTTTTTCTTTCCTTTTCCTTTCTTTCCTCTCTTTTTTTTTTTCTGGTAACAGTTTTATTGAGATATAATTCACATACCATATAACTTACCAGTTTAAAGTGTATAGTTCAGTATTTTTTTAAGATATAATTTATTTGGAATATAAGCTTTGTTTCACAAGTTTATTATTTATTATTATTATTGTTACTCTTTTCGAGACTGAGTCTTGCTCTGTTGCGCAGGCTCACTGCAACCTCCACCTCCCAGGTTCAAGCGATTCTCCTGCCTCAGCCTCCCGAGTAGCTGGGATTACAGACGCCCACTACCACGCCCAGCTAATTTTTTGTATTTTTAGTAGAGATGGGGTTTCCCCATGTTGGCCAGGATGGTCTCGAACTCCTGACCGCCTCGGCCTCCCAAAGTGCTGGTATTACAGGTGTGAGTCACTGCTCCCGGCCAAGAAACCCTATATTCTTTACCTGTCACCCTTCAATTCCCCCTTCTTTCACCCAACCACAAAGAACCAGTTTTCTCTCTCTGGATTTGCTTATTTTGGACATTTCATAGTAATAGAGTTATATAATATGTGGTCTATGTTGTCTGGCTTCTTTTACTTAGCATAATGTTTTCAAGGCCCATCCACGCTTTGGCATTTATCATTGTGGAGATAGGGTCTCACTGTGTTGCCCAGGCTGGTCTTGAACTTCTGGGCTGAGGTAATCCTGCCTCAGCCTCCCAAAGTGTTGGGATTAGAGACATGAGCCACTATGTTCAGCCCTATGTACAAGTTTTTAAGTGGACTTAAGTTTCCGTTTTGTGGAGATGTATAACCAGGAGTGGAATTGCCAGGTCAAATGGAACTACTAATGGTGACGAATGATGTTGAGCATCTTTTCATGTGCTTATTGGCCATTCATGTATCATCTTTGGAGACACGTCTATTCAGATCTTTGGCCCAGTTTTAAATTGGGTTATCTTTTTTAAAATTGAGCTGTAAGAGTGCTTCTGGAATTTATGTGTTGATTAGAAATGGTAGTAGGATGCCCACAGAGAGCTTACTTCAACTGCACCTTCTCCTGGTAATTTCTACCCTTCCCTCAAGCAGATGAAAAACTAAGCAATGACTATAAGCCATCAGTATCTCTTTCTCCAACAGCTCAGCATATTAAGGGGCAGTCAGCTAGTACCTAGAGATGTAGGAAAGAGAGTCAAGGAGTTTCCACTCACTGTAGTCTTAGGAAATAGCAAAAATTGCTGGATGTACTGCTGTTCGTAACAAATAGGAGCCACAGAGTTCAGAGCACAAAGATGGAACAGGGCCGGGCGTGGTGGCTCATGCCTGTAATCCCGGCACTTTGGGAGGCCGAGGTGGGTGGATCATGAGGTCAGGAGATCGAGACCATCCTGGCTCACACGGTGAAACCCCGTCTCTACTAAAAATACAAAAAATTAGCCGGGCGTGGTGGCGGGTGCCCATATTCCCAGCTACTCGGGAGGCTGAGGCAGGAGAATGGCGTGAACACGGGAGGCAGAGCTTGCAGTGAGCCGAGACTGAGCCACTGCACTCCAGCCTGGGCGACAGAGCGAGACTCCGTCTCAAAAAAAAAAAAAAGGTGGAATGGAGTTCTTTCATCATCATATCGGGCAATGTGATTTAAAATCACAGCAAAAATGCTAACATTAAAAGAAAGGAAGTTAAAGAAATGCAGACAAATTCAATTAAGAATAATTAATCCAGGAAATAAAACAGCATGCTATATAAAAGCTGTTCTGACTCTCAAAGTATAAAGAAAATTGAGTAAGAGAAAAAGCTGAGAAAAAAAGAAAAGAATAAAATGATTATAGTACTGAAAGCTACATTATCAGTATAAGGGAATTGAATGTGGAGGATATGCTTGAGAAAACTCATCTGTGAAAGCAATTGAAAGGAAGATAATAAATCTAGAAGACAGACAATGGAGAGCCAATATATGATTTTTCCAAAAACAAGAATAGCAAAAAAAGTAAAGAGAAATTATGGGCAAATACATAATAGAAGAAATTTTACTAAAGTAAAAGGGAAAACCTGAATCTGCAGATCAAAATAGTTTAACAATCCCCATCATTGAGTATGCAGTTGTTTTTGTTTTCTGTGATAAGTAGTACTGTTATGAATATATTTATTCATAGATCTTTGTCTTCATTTCTCATTACAGTGCTTACGGATAGATTCTCAGAAGTTAAATTACTGGGACAGAGATTAGGAATATCTTTAAGATATGCATTGTCACAGTGATTTCTAAAAGGGTTATGCTAGGTTTCAGTATATTTACTAGGATTAACATTTTTAGTCTTTGCTCATTTTATAGGTAGAAATGGCATCTTGTCGGCCGGGTGCAGTGACTCACGCCTGTAATCCCAGCACTTTGGGAGGCAGAGATGGGGGGATCACAAAGTCAAGAGATTGAGACCATCCTGGCCGACGTGGTGAAACCCCGTCTCTACTAAAAATACAAAAATTAGCTGGGCATGGTGGCAGGCACCTGTAGTCCCAGCTACTGGGGAGGCTGAGGCAGAAGAATTGCTTGAATCCGGGAGGCAGAGGTTGCAGTGAGCCGAGATCGCACCACTGCGCTCCAGCCTGGCAACAGAGCGAGACTCCTTCCCAAAAAAAAAAAAGAGCATCTTATCTTATTGTTTTAATTTACAGTTATTACTGGTGAGATTGAACTTTCTTTTTTTTTTTTTTGTGGAGACGGAGTCTCGCTCTGTCACCAGGCTGGAGTGCAGTGGCGCGATCTCGGCTCACTGCAACCTCTGCCTCCTGGAATCAAGCGATTTTTCTGTCTCAGCCTCCCAAGTAGCTGGGATTACAGACGCCTGCCATCACGCCCAACTAATTTTTTGTGTTTTTAGTAGAGACGGGCTTTCATCATTTTGGCCAGACTGATCTCAAATGCCTGACCTCAGGTGATTCGCCCACCTCGGCCTCCCAAAGTGCTAATAGGCATGAGCGACCATGCCTGCTTGAGATCGAACATTTTCGTACATGTAAATTGTTTTCCACTTCTGAATTTTTAGTTCATATCCTTTTCCTTTTCCATATCCCTTTGTCACGTTTATGGTAAATATTTAGCTCAGTTTATTGCTTCTCTTTTATTATAAAGTCATTTTTTTACTTTGCTATTTTGTGTTTTTATTTAATCATATTTGCTAATTTTTTTCTAATTTTGCTTAGAAAGTCTTTCTTCACTTAATAAATTAAAAGTTTGTATTTTCTCCTCACATTTTATTGTTTCAGTGTTTAATTTACATAAGTAATTCATTTGGAGTTCATTTTGGTTTTTGTTATAGAATAAGGATCTGACTTCATTCTTTTAATAACCAATATTTTTGGTTTCATTTCTTGATTACTCTTTCCTTTTATTTGGTGGCATTTCATTTTGCATATTTCAAAAGTATTTTTGTCTTTTTGGAGTTTACCATGCTTTGATACATAAATTTTATCTTTATTTTAGAATAAGGAGAGATTATCTTCTGCTGTTACTGACCTCAACATAATAATGGAGCCCACAGAATGCTCAGAATTAAGTGAATTTGTGTCTAGGTAAGCTATTTAACAAACTTATTTAGAGAAAAAAAGTAAATTTACACTTTACAGTTTTAAGTTTACCTTTTCCTTTTCTTAGTAAGTAAATAAGTCTTCTCTGAAAGTATAACACCACTATTGTGGCTTATATTTAAGCCCGTATTCTCTATATCTATCATTCTTTCATTTAGTTTATATTTATTGCACATTCACTATCTGCTGGGTATTAAAATGTGAGCAAAAAAAAGATACAATCCCCGGTCCTTATGGGATTGACAGTCTAGTGGAGAAGTCAGGTATTAATCAAATAATGGCAGAAGTAAATATAAAATTATGGCTGCGTTAAATGCTATAGAGGAGAGTTACATAATGCTGTTGAAGTATATATCAGAAATTTTTGTTTTTTATTATTTCTATATTTTGTTTTTAAATTAGTGATGGGGTCTCACTATGTTGCCCAGGTTGGTCTCAAACTCCTACGCTCAAGCAGTCCTCCTGCCTTAGCCTCCCAAAGTGTTTATCAGGAATTTGACCAGCAGAAAGAACATGATATCATTTCCTGAAGCTTGAGCTGACATCTGAAGAATGAGTAGGTGTGAACTAACAAAGAGGGCTTAACTTTGCTGGGCACTGTGCCAGCAGGGAGCATGGCATCTGTGAGCAATTGACGCAGGACCACAGTGGCAGGTGGAGGCAAGAGCCTAGGAGAGTGGTGTAAGATGAGGCTAGGAAATTAGGTGAGGTCCATACTACCAGGAATTTGGTATAAAGAGTTTTATTACAACCCCAGGACCAAGTGAAACTATTGAAAAGTTTTGAGCAGGGCCTGAGGAAAGCAAAAGTATGGCATCATAGAAAGAATTATTCTGGATGCTATAGGGAAATGGAATGAAGGGGTGCAATCATTGATACAAATGAGTCAATGACTAATCTTTTAAAACAGTTCAGGCAAGAGAAGTTTGTAGTTTGGACTGAAATGATGGTACTTAGCTAGATGGATTTAGGGGATAATTAGGGAGTAAAAATCAGTGGGCATGGGATTGCTTGAGTAAAAGGGATTAGAGGTCATTCACAGGAGATGACTCTTTGATTATGGTGGTTCTGTCTGCTGTTAAGGGAAGGTTGGAAGAGTACCATTGTCAGGTGAGATTATGACTTTATTTTGGACATATGGGACTTGAGTGCCTTTGAAAACACTGAAATAAAAATGAGAAAGAGGCAGCACAGAAGAGGTGGGGGTGGGAGATATAGAACACTGGAATTATCTTCTATTGGGTAGGAATTAAAGCCTTGAGCAGGAATGAGATTGCTTATGAAGGAATACAGAGTGAAACTAGAAAAGGCCCTAGAACTGAGCCTTGAGGAATTCTAAAATATACTGACTGAATAGAAGGGAAGGATCCTGCAAAGGAATTAGAAAAGGAACTATTTGAGAAGTAGGGAGAATACCAAGAAAGTGTTGTATCTTGGCAGAGATCACATATTTCCTTTTGTTCAGACCATGGTTTGGAAGTAGCATCTGCTATTTGGAAATACAAAAGGAAGAATAGTGAGATATCTCTCTTCCTGTAATAATGAGCATATTATCGTTACTTAATAAATACTTAGTCTCAGCTTCTTGGGCAATTTTTTAGACTGGGTTCCCATTTTGTGGAGAGTGACTGGTATTTTAGAAAGGGTGCTGAACATAGGTCAGAAGACCTGGATTTTAGTCCAGATTCAATTACCTTGTGTAAGTTACTTCTCTTGGAGTTTCTTTCTTCTTTATCTCTGCTGTTATGCAATTTAAATGTTATATGCCTAGTTATGAATTTAGTTTTTCATTATAGATCTGTAGTTTTTTGAACAGGATTGGTATCTTTAGGTTTTGAAAAATATTTAGTCATTATTTTATTGACTCTTGCTTCTACCTTGATCTTCCCTTATCACAGTCTACCTTCACTTTAAATAGTAAACATTTCACATGTACTATAAGAACAGCAGTATACTTTCCATTTATTTTCCTTCAACTATTGTATTATTATTGTCATACAATTGTCATACACTTTTACATGTTTCAAATGTCTCAGGGCATTGTTACTATTTTTGCCTTAGACTGTCAATTATTTTTTAAAGCAATTAAAAATAAGACAAAACTTGTTTTGTGTTTTTGAGATAGAGTCTTACTCTGTCATCCAGGCTGTAGTGGAATGGCATGATCTCGGCTCACTGCAACCTCCGCCTCCCAAGTTCAAGCAATTCTCCTGCCTCAGCCTCCTGAGTAGCTGGGATTACAGGCATCCAGCCACCATGCCCAGCTAATTTTCTTTCTTTCTTTTTTTTTTTTTTGTTTTTCTTTTTTTGCATTTTTGGTAGAGACAGGGTTTCACCACGTTGACCAGGTTGGTCTTGACCTCCTGACCTCAAATGATCCACCCACCATGGCCTCCCAAAGTGCCAGGATTACAGGTGTGAGCCACCATGCCTGGCTGATAAAACATGTTTTTGTATATTTATCTTCATTTTTTCATTTCCAACTTTCTTCATTTCTTTATATTGATTCAGATTTCTAACTGCTATGCTCCTTCTTCCTTGAGAACTTCCTTTAACTTTTTTTTTTTTGAGACAGAATTTCACTCTTTTTGCCCAGGCTGGAGTGCAATGGCACAATCTCAGCTCACTGCAACCTCTGCCTCCCGGGTTCAAGTGAATTTCCTGCCTCACCCTCCCAAGTAGCTGGAACTACAGGTGTGTACCACCACACCCGGCTGATTTTGTGTTTTTAGTAGAAACGAGGTTGATTAGGCTGGTCTCAAACTCCTGACCTCAGGTGATCCACCGACCTCAGCCTTCCAAACTGCTGGGATTGCAGGTGTGAGCCACCACACCCGACCCTTTAACATTTCTTACTGTGCTGGTCTGTTGGCCGTAATATCTATCAGCTTTTGTTTCTCTGGAAAGGTCTTAATTTTGCCTTCATTTTTTTGAAAGATATTTTTGCTGGCCATAGAATTCTGAGTAGATAGGCTTTTAAAAAGTATATGTATTTAAACATACTTTTTCATAATCTGGATTGCATAGGTTGTGACAAAAAGTCTGCGATGATTGTTGTCTTTATTTTTCTGTATTAGTGTGTCTTGTGTGTGTACTTGGGACAGCCTTAAATCTTTCTCTTAATTTTGCATTTTTGTAGTTTGTGCTATGTTTAGGGTATATTTGTGTGAAAATTATCAACCATGTCTTTTAAAGTATTTATTTTGCCCTGTGTCATTCTAATGACACATAAGTTAGACTGTTTGACATATTGTCCCAGCATTTGGGTGCTCAACTCTATTTCTCTCATGCCTTTTTTTCTTTGTATTTCAGTTTGGATAAGTTCTATTAGCCTATCTGCAGCTTAGCAGAGTCTTTCCTCTGTTGAAGTACTGTTTGCCAGGGGGCCCTTTTAAGGAGATCTTTATCTTGCTTTTAATGCTTTTTATTTCTTGTGTTTTCATATTTCCTTGTTGGATGTAACAGAGTTTGTTTATTCATTTACCCATTGAAGGATATCTGGGTTATTTTCAGTTTTTGGTGAATATAGCATATTATAGTTATATATACATTTTTTTTTTTTTGAGATGGAGTCTCGCCCTGTCACCAGGCTGGAGTGCTGTGGTGTGATATCAGCTCACTGCAACCTCCGACTCCCTGATTCAAGCGATTCTCCTGCCTCAGCCTCTCAAGTAGCTGGGATTACAGGCATGTACCACCACCCCTAGCTAATTTTTGTATTTTTAGTAGAGACAGGGTTTCACCATGTTGGCCAGGATTGTCTCGATCTCCTGACCTTGTGATCTGCCCACCTCGGTCTCCCAAAGTGCTGGGATTACAGGCGTGAGCCACCATGCCTGGCCTATATATACATTTATGTAGCATATTATAGTGTATAATATAGCATATTATCTTTATATATGTGTATATATATACACACACACATGCATTCATGCCGCTACAAACATTCATATGCTATAAGTATGTATATTACGTACACAAACACACATGTATATGCTGCTGTGAACATTCACTAGAGGTTTTTGTGTGAATATAAGTTTTCTTTACTCTAGGGTACATAACCAGAAGTGGAATTGCTAAGTCATATAAGAGTATGTTTAAATTTATAATAAACTGCCAAACCATTTTCCAGAATAACCATATTGTTTTGTATTCCCACCAGTAATATGTGAGAATGACTGTTAATATTTTTGTGAATTAATTTCTGATGGTCACCTAATTTTAGATTTAATAGTCCCAGGAATTTATTGTTAGAATAAAATCTTGGAATTTTTATCCTAAATTTATCTTTATGTTCGCTTTATACTTGAGAAGGAGACATTTGGAGTTATTTTTGTTTCCTGACTACTTTAGTTGAAATTGAAATGGGTTACTGCCAACATTTTATGAAAGAAATCCATGACATCTGTTTTACATTTAGTGAAGTTTGGACTTTGCTTAGGAAAAATAGATAAATTACAGTCATTCTTACAGCTGTGAGAGCCAACACCCACACCCACACACAAAATTTCTTTCTATATGGAAAACTCTTATGTGCTGTAGTACAGTATCCTTTATGAAGATGCAAATGGAAGAATGAAGGAATTGTGAATCTTTTAAAGTTCACTGTAAAAGAACAGTCTTTTCCTCTGTGTGTGTGTTTAAACTTGAGTCATCACAGCTTTTAAGATTATTTTCATGGCTTACTCCCTCATCACATGATTAAGAGTTTATTTTTTGCTCACTTGTTTGATGGAGAACGAAATATCATGTCACTGTGGCCTTTAAGCACGAATGAACTAATTTCTCCTCTTTATAGGCCCACACTCTTTGGAAAACAATTTTTTTCAGATGTTAAAATAATTTTTAAAATAGTTATTAGACTGACTTTTAACACATAATCTCCAGTGTTCCCTATAAAGTACACGCTTATGCAGCTTTGTGTTAATTCAACTATTATTTTATGTTCTTTGTTTTCAGTGAATCTACTTGGTTATTTTGGTCCT